CTGATGTTAGAGAGGCTTCCATTTGTTCCTGGAGTGGAATGAGCCTATCCGGTCTACCTTCTATTGCTAGGTTGGGGGTCCAAAAATGCTGGGTCTTGGATGCCTTCTTTTGGGTGGGGTGCATTAAGATGTATGCCCCTGTGGTGCTCCTCTAGGTCTGGAATATTAAAACCAGTTTGCAGCCTTCTTATCACCTTTTAGCAGACTTCTTTGCCTCTGCATATTTCCAGGGGTTATAGTTATGCTTAGCAAGGAGGGCCAGGGAGCAATAGGTTCACACCATCTTGTCCCGACCAGAAGTCAACAGTATATTTTGATGAGCAGAAGTTTCTAATATTGATGAAAGTGAATCTTAATTTTTTCTTTTATGGTTATTGCTTTCTATGACCCGATAAGCTTTTGCTACCCTCACAAGTAAAAACAGTATTTATCTATGTTTTACTCTGAAAATATTATAGTTTTAGCTTTCACATTTAAATCTATGATCCATTGTCAATTATTTTGTGTGGTGTGAGGGAAGTCCAAAGGTTTTTTTTCCATATATATTAAAAACAGTCCAGCCAGGCGTGGCTCAGCGGTTGAGCATCGACCTAGGATCCAGACGATCGGGGTTCGATTCCCGGTCAGGGCACATGCCCGGGTTGAGGGCTTGATCAATGACTCTCTCATCATTGATGTTTCTACCTCTCTCTCTCCCTCTCCTTTCCTCTCTCTGAAATCAATAAAGATATATTAAAAAAAACACACAAAACAAAAACAAAAAAACCCCCTACCTTCCCTGCTCAAATATTTTTGGTGCCTTTGTCAAAAATCAAACAATTGTATTAAAGACAGTTTACTTCTGGGCTTTTTGTTCCATCTCAGAGATGTATTTGTTGATCATATGCCAGTAACACACTGTAATGATTACTGTAGCTTTATGATAGGTCTTGAAGTCAAGTACTGTAAGTCTTCCAACTTTGTTATCCTTTTACAAAATTGTTTTGGATATTTTAAGTCTTTTGTATTTGCATATACATCTAGACTCTAAACGCCCTGATAAGACATCTGCTTACCAGAGATTGAGAGTATAAAAACCATAAAAATTCAGGGCCTTGCTTACTGGTGAAGTTTTTATGGGTCCAATGGTCTTCAAGGTAAAGAATAATTTGTTGCACACTGTACTTCTAACCACTTAAAAGAAGTGATTACTGTTCTTATTATATTCCATATCACTCAGAAGCAGCAGGCCTGAGAGAAGAAATTACAATAGCCTATTAAATTTCAGCCAAGACATCAGCTTGGGGACAACACTCTGTTCATCTGCGACACTGTTCTACAGGACACAGTCCATGAAGTAATAGCTGACATATGGCTCTGGGTCCCCAGCAGCTAGAACATAAGGGTATGGGAACCAATGCTTGGAAGTCGAATCAGCCCTTCATCATCGCTCCCATAAACCCATTTGTGGAATTTGTACTTCTCATCCCCACAATCTTAAACTCTACTGCATTAAAGCCATTGGTTCCTGGATTAAGGGGAACACTTCTTGGAGAGGACACAGTAAAACTTTCACTGAGACTTGTACAATTACCACCTGGTTATACTGAGCTACTCACACGGATGCACCAGCAAATAAACTATAAAAGTTACTATATGAGAGGGAGCAATTAACCACAGTTGACATGAAGGGCTAGGGTTGCTGTTGTACAATGAAAGGAAAAGAGGTAAGTCTGAAACTTGGGGGTTTCACTGTGGGCACCTCCTGGTGCTTACTTTGGCACTGAGAATAGTGAATATACAAATGTATACAACAACAATGGCCTGACATCTGAGGGCTCAAGAAGGGTATAGTTCACCTAAACAGGTAAACAAGCTAGACTCTATGAAATGCTGGTCAAGAGTGACTAAAATCTAGAGTGTGAATGTATAAATATTTCCTTATGTTAAAATCCTTCTGTTGAAAAATACCTACAGTGGTGTCTGTGCTCCCATATGAATTTTGACTAATAAAAATATGCAGTTTGGTATCTCATAGTTTTGATTTGCATTTTCCTAATTGCTAGTGAGGTTGAACATCTTTTCATGTATCTACTGGCTGTTCATATGTCTTCTTGGGAGAGGTGTCTGTTCAGGTCCTCTGCCCACTTTTTGATTTGGGTTGTTTGCCTGTTCTGTGTTGAGCTTTATGAGTTCTTTATATATTTTAGAAACTAAACCTTTGTTGGAGCTAATGTTTGCAAATATCATCTTCCATCTGGTTGGCTGCCTCTTTGTTTTGTTGTTGGTTTCTTTTGCTGTGCAGAAGCTTCTTAGTTCGATATAGTCCCATTCGTTTATTTTTGTCTTTACTTCCTCTGCCTTTGGGGTCAAGTTCATAAAATGTTCTCTACAACCAAGGTCCATAATTTTTGTACCTATGTTTTCTTCAATTTACTGTTTCAGGTCTCACATTTAGGTCTTTGATCCATTTTGAGTTAATTTTTGTACACGGAGACAAACTGTAATCCAGTTTCATTCTTTCGCACGTGGCTTTCCAGTTTTCCCAGCACCATTTATTGAAGAGATTATCTTTACTACACTGTCGAAACTTATCTGCCCATATACATGTGGTCTTATATCTGGGCTCTGTATTCTGTTCTACTGTTCTGTGTGTCTGTTTCTCTGTCAATGCTATACTGTTTTGATTTTCTTAGCTCTGTAGTGTAATTTGAAGTCAGGTAACATGATACCTCTAGCTTTGTTCTTTTTCTCAGGATTGCTTTGGCTATTTGAAGTCTTTTGTGGTTCCGTACAAATCTGATGATTTCTCATTCTATTTCTTTAAAAAATGATATTGTGATTTTGATGGGGATTGCAAGTGTCCTGTGATAGAGGACTGGATAAAGAAGATGTGGGACATGTACACAATGGAATACTACTCAGCCATAAGAAAGGGTGAAATATTGCCATTTGCAACAATATGGATAAACCTTGAGAATATTATGCTTAAGTGAAATAAGTCAGTCAGGAAAAGCTAAGAACCATATGATTTCACTCATACATGGGATATAAAACTGAAACTCGTGGACTCAAACAGCAGTGTGGTGGTTGCCAGAGGGAACGGGCTGGGGAGTGAAGGGAGAAGATTTGACTTTGGGTGGTGGGCACACACNGCTTAAGTGAAATAAGTCAGTCAGGAAAAGCTAAGAACCATATGATTTCACTCATACATGGGATATAAAACTGAAACTCGTGGACTCAAACAGCAGTGTGGTGGTTGCCAGAGGGAACGGGGTGGGGAGTGAAGGGAGAAGATTTGACTTTGGGCGGTGGGCACACATGGCAATATACAGATCTTGTAACATAAAAACCCACACCTGAAACCTATATGATCATGTTAACCAATGTCACCCCAATAAACTTAATAAAAACAATAAATAAGCAGTTTATGATGAAAGGACAGAAAAGAGATAGATGTAGGAGCTGAATGCGAGTTTGATGCAAGCTCACAGTAGCACCACTACGGTAGAGAAAATAATGTGACCAAAGGCTCAGAAGCAAAAAATATGGTGTATCTAGGAAACTTCTAACAGTCAAATGTTGCTGGAGCATAAAGTATGATAAGGAGTAAAAGAAAAATATCCTGGTACCAGGACACTGATAGCCATACATCTTGTGCAAAGCACTCTGAATGTGAACCTGAGGGAATGGGAAGTCACTGAAGTCTTTTCATCAGGACAGTGACATGTTCATATGTGAGGTTTAGGATCATTGGGGCACTTGTAGATAAACAAAAGATCCTGCTCAAGAAAGTCAGCTAAAACGGGTAAAAGCTGGTAGCTATTAGAAGGTCTATGCTATACATGAAGTCATCAAAAGGTTGGTTTAGAAAACCATCAAAACAGACCACTGAAGCAGCATGCTGTATGTATATTAGATCCCTGGAACTTACTCATCTTAAATATTCTGACCACACACAAAAAATGGTAATTCTGTGAGGTGATGAATATGTTAACTAACCTTACTGTAGTAATCATTTTGCAATATATACATGTTTCAAGTCATTACCTTGTACATCTTAAACTTATAAATATTTATATTTAAACTGGGGGAGGGGGGGCAAGCACCTGAGCAAATAATTTGGGGAATGTTGGTGTCAGGAATCTAGTTCAAATATTTGGGGACACTGCACAGTGAATCAGTGATAAAAATAAAACTTGAAATGATGCTGAAGACACTTTGAGTCAATGTATACTGTACAGCCTAAATCCATATAAACATATGGATAATTTTGATTCAGTAAATGGAAGGAAGTTGGCACAGAATCGTCACGGAAGGATGGGACGCATAGAAATAACATGTACTATTCTAATAGTGGTTTATTAATCTTGCCTTCTACTGACAAGCATCTGTATTTTAAACCCAGAATTTGGCTCCATGTTCACATATTGCAGATTGACCGCTTACTTCCATCACCACCAGGATACAATCTCTATAAGATCTTCTAAGGAGCTAACAACTTCAAAGCACTGTCTTTCTCTCTCCTTCCCACTGCTATGCTATAATCAGATTCTCAATGCATATGGATGCCCTAATTCTGAATCAGTGTGGCTGAGCCTTAGAGTTTTCTCTAGAAATTTATGAAAGGACTTAAATTCTGTTTCATTCAAAGACAGAGGATTTTTTCCCCATGCCTGGTTTTATGTTAGTGAAGATTCATCTGCTTTAGGCTTAGGCTTACTTATTGCACCATGCTTTGCAGCACTAGAAGCATTTCTTGAGCAGTTAAAGTTTCCCATAAATCTAAGGCCCTGTGTGTGGAAGATACAGTTTTTCTCTTATCCATAACATGCAATAATTAAGGGCACAGGCATTAAAGTTACTCAGGTCTGGATTCATACTCCTACTGTATACTAGTAGTTTATTCTGGGGAAGATTAGTTTCTCCATTTATGAAATAGGGTTACTTATGTCAAATTCATTAAGATTCTAGAAACTAGAAGGTCAATTATTAGAAAACTTTAAATATAACTTTCTCACCTGAAGTGGCAGACGGTCACTGCTGTCTCTGAAGTCATTGTCAAAAACAATGGCAGCCAGCACTTTGTGAGATTTGTAGTCATATTTCACGTACTTCTCAAACTCAGTTTCTGAAGAAAAGCCTCGAACTGTGGAGAGGCAAAATGGCTCACTTAAATAAAAATGTCTGATGATTCCTCATGAGAAGGGAGATACTACTTTACATGGACAAAAGCCTGTTTAAAGATTAAAAATTTAAAAACACTGCCTCTCAAATATTGGTGTCATAACTACTTAATGGATATTTGGGGTTCAAAACACTTTTAGGTATTTTATAAAGTTCTACTACAATTTTAAATAATAATCATTATAAAACATATACAGGAGTGGGCAGAAGTAGGTTTACAGTTGTTCATATACTTAATAATACAAGAATAAACTGTTTTGAATACTCACAACTATACACCTAGTTCTGCCCACCCCTGTATAAAGGTAAGTCATTAATCATGAGGGAAATGCAAATTACAATCACAATGAGATACTGCTTCACATCCACTGAGATGACTATAATCAGAAAGACAGATGATAACTGCTGTGAGGATGTGGAAAACTGGAACCTTCATACACTGCTGACCAGAATGCAAAATGGTACAACTTTAGATAAGTCCGGCTGTCCCTCAAAAAGTTAAACATAGAATTACCATATGATGTACTCTTTCAACTCCTAGGTATATACCCAAAAGAAAAGAAATCATAGGTCTATGTAAAACTAATAGATGCGTATTCACAGAACTATAATTTATAATAGCCCAAAGGTAGAAACTACCAAATGCCCTGATAAGGGATATACCAACTGAATGTGGTATATTCATACAATGGGATATAATTTGGCAATGAAAAGGAATGAAGGAATAATATAGGCTACAACACAGATAAACTTTGAAAACAATATACTAAGTGAAAGAAGCCAGTCACAAAAGATTACATATTGCATTTATATAAAATCTATAGAAAGGTTTATATGTAAACCATTTATATAAAAGGTTTAAAATATGCAAATCTATAAGGAAAGAAAGTATATTGTTTTCCTAATCCTAGTGAAGATAGGAAATTGTGGTGTCATGCATGACTAAAGGTTATGGGACTTATTTTTGGTGATGAAAATGCTCTAAAATTGATTGTGGTGATGGCTGCACAACTCTGGAAATATGCTAAAAGCCATTGGAGTGTACACTTTAAATCAGTGAATGTATGGTATGTGCATTATATCTAAAAAAAGCTGTTTTTAAAAAACTTAAGGTAGATCAGAAGGTGGAGATCACTTAAAACTGTGCTTTAAAAAAACAACAATTTTATGGATCAATAGCTGTAGCAGAGGAGTCAGTGAAGATATATCAGCAGAAATTACCTAACCTAAACAAGAGAGAGAAATATTGGAAAGAAGTTGAACAGAGCCTCAATGACCAGTGGGACAATACAATGTCTAGCGTTTATGTTGTCACAGTCCTCAGAGAGGAGAAAAAAGGTCATGTTGAAAAACAATTTTTAGAAATAATTTTCAAAAATTCTCCAGATTTGGTGAAAGAAACTTATAGATTCAAAAGGCTCAATAAACCCTATACAGAATAAACCAAAAGAAATCCATGCTCAGAAACATCATAATCAAACTTTTGACAAATAAAGAAAGAAAATATCTTAAATAAGCCAGGCAGAGAAAGACAAATATCACATGATCTCACTCATATGTGGAATCTAAAGAACAAAGTAAACTGATGAGCAAAATAGATTCAGTGACATGGAAGCATGGAACAGACTGAGGGATCTCAGAGGGAAGGCGGAAGTGNAGTAGGTAAAAATGCTGTGGGACATTTACACCATGGAATACAATGCAGCTGCAAAGAAGGATCTCTTACCCTTTGGTACAGTATGGATGGACCTGGAGAATATTATGCTAAGCGAAATAAGCCAGGCAGAGAAAGACAAATATCACATGATCTCACTCATATGTGGCATCTAAAGAACATAATAAACTGATGAACAAATAGATTCAGAGACACAGAAGCATGGAACAGACTAACGAATCTCCGAGGGAAGGTGGGGGGTGGGGTGGGGAGAGATTAACCAAAGAATTTATATGCATATATGCATAACCCAGGGACACAGACAATGGTGTGGTGAAGGCCGGGGGCGGGTAGAGGGTGTAGGGTGGAAGGGGTCAATGAGGAAAAAAGGGGACATCTGTGATATTTTCAACAATAAAGATAAATTTAAAAAAAGAAGCAGCTGGAGAGAAATGACACATTATCTATAGAAAAACAAAGACTCGAATGACTGCTTTTTTTTTTCCTGAGACCAACGAGGTCAGAAGAAAGTGGCAAATATTTTTTAAATGTTGAAAAACTTCTGTGAATTTAGAATAACTTCAAGATCATGAAGTTGAAATAAATACATTCTCAGAGGAAGGAAAACAAAGAAAACTCGTTGCTAGTATACCTGCTCTAAGAAATTATTAAAGAAATTTCTTTAGAAAGAAGGAAAATGATATTGGAAGAAAACTTGGAACTTCGAGAGTAAAGGAAGAGCAACAGCTATAGTAAATATCCAGATAAATAGTTTTCTTAAGTTATTTAAAATGCATGTGTAAATTATTAAATTTCTTGGTAAGGTTTTCAGCTTACATAGATTTGAAAACTACAACATAAAAAGAAAAATATAAAAGGATCTATATATTGGTAATCATTTGACATTATGATAAAGTGGTAAGATACTACTTCTAAGTAGAGTGTGAAAATTAAGTATGCATATTTTAACTTCAAGAGCAACCACCAATAACATTATATATCAGAAGTCAAACTTATCCATTTTTTTCTTTCATGGATGATACATTTGGTGTCATGTCTGAGAATTCAACTAACTCTACATTACAAAGATTCTCTCTCCAAATGTTTTATCATTTTACTTTTAGATCTGATTCATTTTGATACAGTTTTTGCATTAAGTATGGTTTTATTGGTTTATTTATTGATGTCCAATTCTTCAGCACATTTGTTGAAAAATTATCCTTCCATTGAATTATTTTGCACTATTGTAAGAAAATATTCTGGCCTATTTGTGTAGGTCTGTCTCTCGGTTCTTTGATCTATGTGTCTACCCCTCTACTGATAGCACACTGTCTTTATAACTACAATTATATTATAAGCCTTAAAATTGAGGCGTGTAATTCTTCCAACTTTATTCTTTTTTCTACATTATTTTAGCTCTATCAAAAAAATTAAGGTTAAGTTTTACAGAAAACCTTAATTTCTAACCTTTTATACTGCTGTTTAAACTCTTCTTCACGGTCTCAGTGATCTCTCTTACCACATTAATATTTGAAGGCACATAAATCAATTCCCACTCTTGAGGATTTGTGAGGAAAGAAGGCAGATCACCGATGGGTTGAGGATTAAAATGCTGAGGTCCTTTAACATTTACACCAGTAACTCCACGGAATAGCAAAAGCAACATTGGAAACACCACTGCTGTTAAGACTTCAAGTAGTAAATTAATGAATTGTCTTCTCTAAAAGAGGAAAAAAAAGATAGTGTTAATTAAGAGAACACATTCAATGCCAATGTTCTATTATATTAAGTTTCTGCCAATTTCACTCTGGAAAAACTAGTGTTTCCTGGACCTTCTTGTACCAGCCCTTCCTCTCCACTACCAACCTTCTTATAGTCAGACTATACTACTGATTGACTCAGTTTTATAGATTTGGAAGAGTACCTACAGCTATTAAATTGATTTTTCAAACACACAAACACACACATCCTAAACCACAACAAATGGGAACTTATAGATATTTTCCATGAATGCTTTTACCTACCTTTATGGTAAAATTTTTCCAGAGAAGCACTGTAAATTGTTTGAATGTAAACAAATCCATTCTTCTACAAAGAGTGTATATTCAACTCCAGTTATGGCGATAAGGTTTTTTAATGTTAAGTTACCTAATAATGTAAAGATCAAGCAAATAATAGTATTAATTCTTTCCCCTATTTTTCTCCTTATTCAGGCTTAAAGATTGATACAGGATAATTATGTATTTGAAATAAAGAAAATTATATTGTTTATATTTTCTATCTCTTAATTTACTTAATATCTCATGAAGTTCCAGTATGCTTAAAACACAAGAAAATAGCCTGGCCGGGCATGGCTCGGTGGTTGAGCATAGACCTGTGATCTGGGAGATCGTGGTTCAATTCCTGGTCGGGGCACATGCCCTNAAAATAGCCTGGCCGGGCATGGCTCGGTGGTTGAGCATAGACCTGTGATCCGGGAGATAGTGGTTCAATTCCTGGTCGGGGCACATGCCCTGGCTGCGGGCTCGATCCTCAGTGGGGGATGTGCAGGAGGCAACTGATCAATGACTCTCTCATCATTGATGTTTTTATCTCTCTCCCTCTCCTTTCCTCTCTCTGAAATCAATAAAGATATATATATATATATAAAAAAAACTCCCTTTAAAAACAAAACAAAAAACACGCAAGAAAATAGATAATGAAATAACAATAGGAAGTGAATCTATTTCTCCAGGATCTGATATTTCCTATTCTAGTCTCTTGGACNTATTTCTCCAGGATCTGATGTTTCCTATTCTAGTCTCTTGGACCAGATAGCTAGCTTCACAGGTGAATTCTAACAAAGATTTAAATAAGAATTAATACCAATCCTCCTCAAAGTTTTCCAAAATAATTATAGAGAACACTTCCAAATTCATTTTAGGAGGCCACCATTACCTTGATAACAAACCCAAAAACGACCCTACAAGAAACAACAGATCAATGTCCCTGATAGCCCGGCCAGGCGTGGCTCAGTGGTTGAGTGTTNACGACCCTACAAGAAACAACAGATCAATGTCCCTGATAGCCCGGCCAGGCATGGCTCAGTGGTTGAGTGTTGACGTAGGATCCAGGCGATCGGGGTTCGATTCCCGGTTAGGGCACATGCCCAGTTGCAGGCTCGATCAATGACTCTCGCATCATTGATGTTTCTATGTCTCTCTCTCCCTCTCCTTTCCTCTCTCTGAAATCAATAAAGATATATTTAAAAAAAAAAAATCCCTGATAAACAGAGATTTTAAAAATCCTCAAAATATTCAAAATGAATTCAAAAGCACATTAAAAGGATCGCACATCATGACTGAATAAAATTTATCTCTGGGATGCAAGGATGGTTTAGTATATGAAAATAATTAAATGTGATATAACACATTAATAGAATGAAGGTTAAAAATCATATGATAATCTCAATAGATGCAGAAAAAGCATTCGACAAAATTCACCCAAAACACCCGACAAATTATATATACAAAGAAAATTCCTCAACATAATAAAAGTCATATATGAGAAGCCCACAGCTGACATACTCAAAAGCGAAAAACGGAAAGCTTTTTCCTGGTAAATCTGAAGGGAGGCATGCATGCCCATTCTTGTCACTTTCATTAAACATAGTACTAGAAGTCCCGATGAGAACAGTTATACAAGATAATAAAATAAAATACATCTAAATCAGAAAGAACTGTCTCTGTTAACAGTTGGCATAATCTGATATACAGAAAACCCTAAAGACTCTACACAAAAAACCCTGTTAGAACTAATAAAACTAACAGAACTAATTAAGCAAAGTTGTAGGACACAAAATCAACACAGAAAAATAAGTTGAGTTTCTAAAGACTAATAACATAACTGACAAGGAATTAAGAAAACAATCCCATTTACACTAGCACCAAAAACAATAAAATACTTAGAAATAAACTTAACCAAGGAGGTAAAAGACTTATACATTGAAAACTGTAAAACTGATGAAAGAAATTAGAGCTGACACAAGTAAGTGTAAAGATGTGCCGTGTTAATGTATTGAAAGACTTATAATTGTTAAAATGTCCATACTACCTAAAGGGACCTACAAATTAAATACAATCCCTATCTTTAAAACCAAAATAGAAAAACAATCCTAAAGCACACACAGAAGCTAAATAACAAAAGCAATCTTGAGGGGTAAAAAAAAAAAGCTGGAGTCATCACACTTCCTGATTTCAAAATATATTAAAAAGCTACAGTAATTAAAACAGGATGGTACTGGCAGAAAAACAGAGGCATAGTCCTATAGAACAGAAAAATATCAGAAAAAATAGAGAAGATCTAAACACAACATAATTAACAAGTTGATCTAGTACATATATATGTTATCCTCTACACAAAAATTGGTATTGTTGATCAAGCACACATGAAACATTTTAAAAAACTTGTCATAAGTTTTTTCATAAAAGCAACTGGCAAATAGATGAATTCACTAAAGTAGCAGGATACAAAATAAATAGCCAGAAATCAGTTGCTTTTTTTTTTTAATTATTCCTCACCTGAGGATATTTTTCCATTGCTTTTCAGAGAGAGTGGAAGAGATAGATGATATAGATAGAGAGGTGATGATTGATGATAGATAGATAGATGATAGATAGATGGTAGATAGATAGACAGATAGATAGGTGATAGATGAGAGAGAGAGAGAGAGAGAGAGCGAGGGAAAGGGAGGGAGACATCGATGTGGGAGAGACACATCAATTGGTTGCTTCCCGCACGCACCCCGACTGGGGCCAGGAATTGAGCCTGCAACCAAGGTACGTGAATTGAAGCTGGGACACCTTAGTCTGTGGGCCGACACTCTAACTACTGAGCAAAACCAGCCAAGGCCATAGTAATCAAAGCAGCATGCTACTATAGTTAAAACAGACACTTAGATCAATGGAACAGAATAGAGAGCAGAGAAATAAACCCAGGCTTTTATGGTCAATTAATATTTGACAAAGGAGGCAAGAGTATACAATGTAGTAAAGATAGTCTGTTCAATAAATGATGGTGGAAAAACTGGACAGGTATGGGCAAAAAAATGAAACTAGACCACATACTTATACCATCACGCACAAGAATAAACTCAAAAATACATCTAAGACTTAAACATCTCCTCAGGCAAGAGAAACAAAAATAAATAAACAAATGGGACACATCAAACTAAAACATTTTTGCACATCAACCAAACCAAATGACAACCCACTGAATGGGAGAACATGTTTGCCAAAATGATACATCTAACAAGGGTTTAATATCCAAAATTTATAAAGAACTTATAAAACTCAATACCAAAACCCAAAGAATCCAATTAAAAAATTGACAAAGGACCTGAATAGATACTTCTCTAAAGAAGATGTACAGATGGCCGGCATATGAAAAGATGCTCAATGTCACTAATTATCAGAGATGCAAATTAATACCACAACGATGTATCACTTTACGCTCGTCCAAATGGTAATCATCAATAAATCAACAAACAACAAGGGCTAGCTAGGATGTGGAGAAAAGGGAACCCTCATGTACTGCTGATGGGAATGCAGATTGGTGCAGGCACTGTAGAAAGCAATATGGAGCATTTCCTCGAGTAAATTAAAAATGAAACTGGCCCGGCCGGGCGTGGCTCAGAGGTTGAGCATCGACCTAGGATCCAGGAGATTGGGGTTTGATTCCTGGTCACGGCACATGCGCAGGTTGCAGGCTCNGACCTAGGATCCAGGAGATTGCGGTTTGATTCCCGGTCAGGGCACATGCACAGGTTGCAGGCTCGGTCCCCAGTCGGGGGTGTGCAGGAGGCAGCCAATCAATGACTCCCTCATCATTGATGTTTCTCTCTCTCTCCCTCTCCTTTCCTCTTTCTGAAATCAAAGATATAGTTAAAAAAAAATGAAACTGCCTTATGAATCAGAAATTTCAGTTCTGGAAAAATATCTGAAGAAACCTGAAACACTAATTCAAAGAATATATGCACCCCTATGTTCACTGCTAGTGTTATTTACAATAGTCAAGATTTGAAAGCAGCCCAAGTGCCCATCAGTAGATGAGCAGATAAAAAAGCTGTGGTACTACCTTGAGGAATTCCAACATGGTGGCTGGCAGGGCCAGAGTGAGGGTGAGTGGGTGAGTATGGGTGAAAGAGAATGTGTGGGTATGAGAGCAGATGGGCATTTGTCTGTAGATGTGGGGACTCAAGGTTGGTTGTTCAGGTGCTCCTGGCAGGAGAGCTGCTGGTTGCAGCTATGTGCTGCTCAGCCAGACACTGCTCGCTGCCTTGCTTTGGAGAATGTGCCATTTTGGAAGATCTGCAGGGTCCTCCTCAGGAGGAGGCTGCAGGGAGTGGCCATGATCCAGCACCCCAAGGCTGCAGACCAGCATGCTCAGCCCCACTGTTGTGACTCAGCCCCCTCAGCCCCGAGCTGTGACCCAGAATGCACGGACCTGCTGCCACAACCCAGGGTGCCTAAATCAGTGCACCCAGAAGACCAAACCCACTGCCACAACATGGTATGCCCAGACTGCTCACCATGACCTGGTGTGTCTAGTCTGGCTGCCTGGACCTGCTGCTGCAACCTAGAGTGCATGGCTTGCCGACACAACCTGAAGCCCCTGGACAGCCAAACCCGCCTCTACAACCTGTCACTCCCCACCCCCCCCAAATGCTCAGACAGTGACTCACCTTGTCCTGCATCAGAGAACCTCCCAGGAGGCCCAGGACCAACTCAATAAGGGGCCAGAATCAACAAAAGCAGAGCAAAATCCAGTGAGCTCCATTAACAGCAGATGCAAACACCTGTATAACAGCTGGCAAGACGTGGTTGGGGTTGAGCCTTACAGTCAATAAGCCTGAGGGGAGACCCCACCATCAAATGGGGCATTAGCAATCAAGACCCAAGTACAACAGAAGAGCCCAAACAACCCACACGAGGGACACTGTTAGAGCACCCAGCTCAGGAGATCAAAGAGGCTCCACCACTAGGTCCCACAAGACACTTTCTACATCAGGCCAAACCACAAAGACTCGGAGGCATAGTAGTTCTACCTAATACATAGAAACAAACACAAAGAGACAGCTAAAATGGGAAGACAAAGAACTAACCTCCAAATGAAAGAAAAGGAGGAACCACGGGAAAAGAATCTAAAAGAAATGGAGGCAAGCAATTTATCAGACATAGAGTTCAAAGTAATGGTTATAAAGATGCGCAAACAACTTAGAAGTACAAGCGACTTAATGAGAACTACAAGAAACTAAGTGGGAACTATATCAGCATGACAAAAGATGTAGAAACCATGAAAAAGAACCAATCCGAAATTAAGAATGACACAGCTAAATAAAGAATACCCTGGAATCAACAGTAGATTAGAAGAAGCTGAGTGAATGAGTGAATTAGAAGACAAGGTAGAAAAAAACACCAGGTCAGAGCAGCAATTAGAAAAAAATTAAGAAGCAGGAGGATAGTTTAAGGGAGCTTTGGGACAATATGAAACTTATAACCACAATATAGAGATACCAGAAGGAGAAGAATCTGAGCAAGGACTAGAGAACCTGTTTGAAGAAATAATAACAGAAAACTTCCCTAATCTCGTGAAGGAAAAAGTCACACAAGTTCAAGAAACAGAGTCCAAATCAAGATGCATGCAAAAAGACCCACACCAAGATACATTATAATTAAAACGGAAAACATTAAAGACAAAGAAAGAATCATAAAGGCAGCAAGAGAGAGACAGAAAGTTACCTACAAGGGAGCTCCCATTAGACTGTCAGCAGAGTTCTCAATAGAAACACTTCAGGCCAGAAGGGAGTGGCATGAAGCATACAAAGTAATGAAAAACAAGGGACTGAATCCAAGACTAATCTATCCAGCAAGGCTATCATTTAAAATTGAAGGAGAGATAAAAGAGCTCCCCAGACAAAAAATAAAAAAAGGCTAAAGGAGTACATCACCACCAAACCAGCATTGCAAGAAATGCTAAAAGAACTGTGTTAAGAAGAAGACAGTTAGAGAGGAACAAAGGTATAAAAGAAAAAATGGCAACAAATAAGTACCTATCAATAATAACCTGGAGATTCCAAGATGGCAGCAGATTAAGTGGAAGCTACACTGACACTCTCCCAGGACCAAACTGGAATTACAAGTAAAATATAGAAAAACCATGCTGAATAATCAACTGAAGACTAGCTGGAGAGAACCCTTATAACCAAGGACATAAAATGGAGACCGAATAGAGACTGGTAGGAAGTGCAGAGGCATGAGAGGTCTGGCCAGGATAACACAGGTTGCTGTGGAAGTTCCAGAGGGATATCTCAACTATAGTGGGTTACCACTGAGAACTCTGGGTAAAAAGAACTCAAAAACATTCAAACACATGGAGGCTAAACGATCAAGGAAAAAATAATATCTTCCTGGAAACAAATGAAAATGAACACACAACAACCCAAAAGCTATGGGACACAGTAAAAGTCGTCCTCAGAGGGAAGCTTACAGCATTACAGGCCTACCTCAAGAAACAGGAAAAAGCTCAAATAAACAATCTAATTCTACAACTAAAAGAATTAGAAAGAGAACAATAGGAAAAGCCCAGAATAAGTAAAATGAAGGAAATAATAAAAAGTAGATCAGAAATAAATGATACAGAGACTAAACAGAAATACAAAAGATCAATGAAACCAAGAACTAGTTCTTTGAGAGATAAATAAAATTGATGCACCTTTAGCCAGACTCATCAAAAAACAAAGAGAGAAGACCCAAATAAATAAAATCAGAAATGAAAGAGGTGAAGTAACAACAGACCCAACAGAAATACAAAGAATTGTAAGAAAATACTATGAACAACCATATGCCAACAAATTGGAAGCTAACCGAGAAGGTGAGAAGGGAGAAGAGCTAAGACGGTGCCAGGGGTGCAGCCAGAAACTCACGACACAGAGCTCACTGCCAGTCTTATGCTAGAGAGAAGAGGAGGAATCAGGTTGCTGCTGACAATCCCATCAGCTGAGAGGAGCAAACAGATACACTGAACATTCCTGTGGGAATGGTTGATATGCATTGTGGCTGAACCCAGTAACCTAGACAGGGAAAAAGCACAGAGGTACAGCAATGGTTGTCTGGCAACTGCCATTCCAGGCAGAAAAACAAAGCCACACAGCCTTCCTGCCTCACCTCACTCTCGCAGAGCTACCCATGGGCTCCTGAGGAAGGTGTAGCAGTGAGTGTCAGGATGCATAGCACATTATCTGCAAACTTGAGAACAAAAACTACAGAAAAATTTTTTTCGAGCAAAAGGCACATTTTGCGACTAATCCCAGAGTAATGTAAAAATACAGAAGGGGGGGCACAGAAGTCTGCCAATGATCATTACTGAAGGCAGCGAGCTACCAGAAAACAAGAGATATAATGGCTATAGGAAATTCTCATCATTAATAATTATACTAAATGTAAATGGGCTGAACTCACCAATAAAAAGGCACAGAGGAGCAGACTGGATCAAAAAAACAAATATGCTGCCTTCAGGAGACACATCTCAGCTGCAAAGTGAAATGTTGAAAAATGATTATCCAAACAAATAGCATTCAGAGAAAAGCAGGTATAGTATCCATAATCATCTTGATATTCAAAGGAACAAAATGGCTTTAAAAGATATTTATAAAAATTAACTTGGATAATCCATTTTTGCATGTATGTTTAAATGATATTAAGAGTTTATTACTTTGTATATGATTGTTCCTTGTGAGATTCTTTTCATATATTAGTTTAGACATGCTTGCCTTAATCTTTCTTCTCGTAGACAATTCTATGACTGTTAAATCTAGAAGGCTGCTAGGTGAACTTTTCATAGCAAACATATTGCTTTTAATCAATTACACAATGTAATTCCTTTACAACAAAAAAAAAGATATGTAGAGACAAATAAAAATGACAATACAACATATCAAAACTTTTGGGATGCAGCAAAAGCAGTAATAAGAAGGACATTTATGTCATGACAGGCCTATCTCAAGAAACAAGAAAAATCCCACGTAAACAACCTAATATTACATCTTAAACTAGAAAAGGAAGAATNAATATTACATTTTAAACTAGAAAAGGAAGAATAAAAGAAATCCAAAGTCAGCGGGAGAAAAGAAATAATAAAAATTAGAGCAGAATTAAATAAAATAGAGAACAAAAAGACTATACTAAAAATTGTGCAACAAAGAGCTGGCACTTTTGTGGCAGGACAGTAAAAAGCTAGGAAAATTCCTGGGCAAGTAGAATAGGGAAACTGAGACAACACCAAACAATTTGAACAACTTATAGCCACCTAGTGAATCCCAAGACCTTATCTTCCCTAACCAAGGACACTTGAGAGCAAATGGTTTATACCCTCCTCTCTAACCAGAGAACACATGGCGTAAATAAACCTGGTCTGGGAAATAGAGAACAGAGACTCAGTTAATGCCATTTCTGCCAGCTAAACCCTAGGGCAGATGAAGTTGGGGAAGAAATAACAAAGACCCCACTAAAGCCAGACAGACCCAAGATAAAAGTAAAACAGTAAAGCTGATAAAACAGTAATCCCAAACTCCCCTATCCACTCATTTTGATGCATCAGCATATTAAAAATGCACCTGAAAAGATAATGAACATTCTGTGGAAACCTTCCCCTAAGATTCTCACTCACAGAAGAGATAAAAACACTCAAGGCAAAGACCTGGGGTGGGCTTACTCTAGAGAAAACCATTCCCCTTCTCAGGCATGAACTTTTTGCTTCCTCCCAACTCTAAGGGTCCTCATGAGACTTGCAACTAGCGGAGCAGTGGGTAGCGTCAGCTCACCCTGGGCTTACCCCCTGATCCTGTCTCCAAGGCTTTTTCTCTGACTTTCCAGTGAGCTAAAAGCAGCTCCACCCCGGCTCACTTCTGGCACTGTGACCTTCACTTCCCAGTAAGCTAACAGCAGCCCCACTCACTTCTTTCCTATAACGTTTCTAGGGAGCCAAAGCAAAGCCCCATCTAGGCTTTCTCCTATCCTGTTGCTTCTTCTATCCTAAGTCCTGCCTTTGTTTCACTCTCCCAGTTTTAATAAACATACTCTCAAAATCACCTGGAATCGTGTTGTGAAATCTTTCCTACACAAATTCAAGAACCTACACACTAAAGGCTGCCCTGAGACATACCCACTCCAGGCCTGGTCCCTGTATGGTAACACTCTGAAAATATTAATAACATTGATAAACCTCTGCCTAGGCTCACTAAGGAAAAAGGAGAAAAGACTCAAATAAAATCAGAAATGAAAGAGATGTTACCACAGACACCACAGAAAAAATAAACGGTCATATAATAATACTATGAAAGACTATATGCCACCAAATTCAATAACCTAGAAGAAATGGATACGTTCCTAGAAATATACAATCTTCCTAGACTGAATCACAAATAAGTGGAAAATCTAAATAGACCAATTAACAGTGAGGAAGTTAAAACAATGATAAAAAACTCCCAAAAAGTAAAAGTCCAGGACCAGATGGCTTTACTCGTGAATTGTACCAAACATTCAAAGATTTAATCCCTGTTCTTCTCAAACTCTTCCAAAAAATTAAAGAAGAGGCAATACTTCCCAACACATTTTATGAGGCAAGTATAACCCTGATACCAAAACCTGGCAAGAACAACACAAAAAAAGAAAACTACAGACCAATATCTCTCACGAATACGGATGCAAAAATCCTGAACAAAATACTAGCAAATCAAATACAATACATTTAAAAAAATAATACATCACAATTAAGTAGGGTTCATTCCAGGGACAGAAGGATGGTTCAACACATGCAAATGGATCAATGTAATACACCACAATAACAAGACAAAAGANAGTAGGGTTCATTCCAGGGACACAAGGATGGTTCAACACATGCAAATGGATCAATGTAATATACCACAATAACAAGACAAAAGGTAAAAATCATATGATCATATGAATAGATGCAGAAAAAGCATTTGACAAAATACAACATGCATTTATGATGAAAACTGTCAATAAAATGGGTATAGAAGGAAAGTACCTCAACACAATTAAGGCCATATATGACAAACCCTCAGNTTTGACAAAATACAACATGCACTTATGATGAAAACTGTCAATAAAATGGGTATAGAAGGAAAGTACCTCAACACAATTAAGGCCATATATGACAAACCCTCAGCTAATAGCATACTCTATGATGAAAACCCAAAAGCTTTTCCTCTAAGATCAGGAACAGGCAAGGATGTCCACTCTCTCCACTCTTATTCAACATAGCTCTGGAAGTCCTAGCCAGAGCAACCAGGGAAGAGAAAGAAATAAAAGGCATCCAAATAGGGAAGGAAGAAGTAAAACTCACTTTTTGCAGATGACATGATTCTGTATATAGAAAACCCTAAAGACTCCACCAAAAAAACTATTAGAAACAATAAACAAATACAGTAAAGTTGTAGGATACAAAAATCAACGTGCAAAAATCCACCGTATTCCTGTATACTAACAATGAAATTTGAGATAAAGAAATGGAAAACACAATTCCTTTTACATTTGCAACAAAAATAATAAAATACCTAGGAATAAACTTAACAGAGGAGGTGAAGGACCTATATGCTGAAAAGTACAAGATATTTTTAAAAGAGATGGAAGAAGGCACACAGAAATGGAAAGACATTCCATGTTTATGGACTGCAAGAATCAACATAGTTAAAATGAGCATATTACTCAAAGCAATACAGAGATTTAATGAAATCCCCATCAAAATCCCAAGGACATTTTATAAAGAAATAGAACAAAAAATAATCGGGTTTGTATGTAACAACAAAAGACCCCGAGCAGCCAGAGCAATCCTGAGAAGGAAGAATGAAGCCGGAGGCGTCCCTCCCTGACTTCAAATTGCGCTCCGGAGCTACAACCACCAAACACGTTAGGCGAAGAAACACACACACACGCAAATCAATGGACCGGCCTAGAGAGCCAGAAACAAACCCGCACGCCTATCAGCAGGTGCTTTTCTACAAAGACGCCAACAACGTGCCCTGAAGACAAGAAACCACCTTCAGTGGACGGCTCCGGGGGCCCGGGAGCCCCAGGGAAACGCGTTCAAGCAGACGCGGCGCGCCCGGGAAAGGCCACTGCAGAGGAGACCGAGGCGCTGACCGCGCGCGTCCGGTGTCAGGGGGCTCTGGTGAATCTGACGCCAAAGGCAAGGGAAGTATAAATGAAAGTAAACGAATGGGTCTATAGCGGACTGAAAAGCTTCCGCGGAGCGAAAGAAAATGCCAACGAAACAAACACACAGAAAGGCCACCAACCTGACTGGGAGAAGATATTTGCCAACAAGAGCTCTCACAAAGGGTTGACATAAAAAATACAGGGTGTCCCCCCAAAATATATATGTTTTGAATAATTATTAATCCCAATGGGTTAAATCTGAAACGAAAAAAAAAACATCAACTGAGCTATCAACTGAGCCATTTGATTGGGTTTCCTTCGAAACCGCACCGCAGCTCCCCGCGCAGCCGGACCCGCCGCGGCCCGCGCCGAGCGCTCACTGAGCGTCTGCGAAGCAAACACTCCTCGCGCGAAGGCTCCGAGTTTAAAACCGCGAGCGCCGCTGAAGCAAAGCGCCAGGCTGCAAGCATCTGGCGAACACAACTTCTGACGACTTCGGAGACTAAAAAAAGAAAAAAAAAGAAAAAAGAAAAAAAACCCCAATAGTTTTAACAACGAATTAAACTATTTTCTCTTATCCAGTGACCCATCCCCTGGGGCGTGGCGCAGAGGAAGGCGACGGGGTCACTTCTCCGGCTCTCTCAGGGCAC